TCCTTCCTTCCTTCCTTCCTTCCTTCCTTCCTTCCTTCCTTCCTTCCTTCTGTGGCCGCTGAGGACCACCTGTGTTTCAGCCTCTCCGGCTCAGGCCCCCTTCTTCCTCCCTGTCTCCCTCCCTCCCTCCCCCCCTTCCCGGCCGGACCCTCACCTGCTCGCACTGCCCGTAGAGGTCGACCAGCACGTAGCAAGGGCTGGGCACGTCTTGGGCCGCCACCCCCTGGTCGATACCGTTGACGTAGAGGTGGAGGCAGCCGCTGGCGTCCACCAGGACCCCCAGCACCGTCCCCTCCGGGCAGGTGTCCAGGTTGGGGCCGTAGTTCTCGCAGACCTGCAGCGGGCGGGAGGGCAGAGACGGGGGGGGGGAGGGCGAGGCTCAGCACCCCAGTTTCAGGAGGGGGTTCTCCCTCCCTCCCCCCCCAAAGTCCCGCCGGCCCCTCCCGGCACCTTGAGGGAGTTGTGGAAGACGGAGTCCCGCTGCAGGAGCCACGTGGAGCGCTTGAGCGAGCAGGCCGTGGCCGGGAAGTTGAGCCGCTCCGGGGAGCTGCCGATGACACCCAGGGAGAGCGAGGACGTCCATTGGGGGTTCAGGGAGTCGATCTGGAACTGAAGGGGGGGGCAGGAGGTCAAAAGGGGGTCCTGTGGGAGGGGGAAAGCGGGGAGACACACACACACACACACAAAGAGACACACAAAGAGACACAGACACAGCGGCCGCCTTCCTCTCCCGTGACCGGAGCATTTGCAGAAGATGGAAGGAAGGAAGGGAAGGAGAGAGGAGGGAGGAAGGGAGAAAGGAAAATAGAAGGAGGGAAGGAGGAAAGAGAAGGGAGGGAGGAAAATAAAAGGAAGGAAAGGGAGAAAAATGGAAAGGAGGAGGGAGGGAGGCAAGGAAGGGAGGGAGGGAGGAAGGAAAACAGACAAGGAAGGATAGAGGGAAGGAAGGAAGGAAGGAAGGAAGGAAGGAAGGAAGTAAGGAAGGAAGGAAGGAAGGAGGGGAAGGAAGGAAGGGAAAGGATGGCAGGGAGGAAGGAAGGAGAGGAAGGAAGGAAGGAAGGGAAAGGATGGCAGGGAGGGAGGAAGGAAGGAAAACAGACAAGGAAGGAGGGAGGGAAGGAAGAACGGAGGAGGAGAGAGAGGAAGGAGAAGGAAGGAAGGGAGAGGATGAGAGGGAGGGAGGAAAATAGACAGAAGGAAAGAAGGAAGGAAGGAAGGAAGGAAGGGGAGGAAAATGGATGGGAGGAAGGAAGGGAAACAATGGGAGGGAGGGAGGGAGGAAGGAAAACACAAGGAAGGAGGGAAAAAGGAGAGGAAGGAAGGAAGGAAGGAAGGGAAAGGATGGCAGGGAGGGAGGGAGGAAGGAAAACAGGCAAGGAAGGAGGGAGGGAAGGAAGAACGGAGGAGGAGAGAGAGAGAGAGGAAGGAGAAGGAAGGAAGGGAGAGAATGAGAGGGAGGGAGGAAAATAGACAGAAGGAAAGAAGGAAGGAGAGAGGGAGGAAAATGGATGGGAGGAAGGAAGGGAAAGAATGGGAGGGAGGGAGGAAGGAAAACAGGCAAGGAAGGAGGGAGGGAGGGAAGAAGGAGAGGAAGGAAGGAAGGAAGGAAGGGAAAGGATGGCAGGGAGGAATGAAGGAAGGAAGGAGGGAAGGAAGGGAGATGGCAATGAGAAGAAGAGGGAGGGACGGAGGAAGGAAGGAAGGAGAAAGGAAGGAGATGGGAATAGGAAGGAAGGAAGGAAGGAAGGGAGATGGCAATGAGAAGAAGAGGGAGGAAGGAAGACTGGCAGAAGGAAGGAAGGAGATGGGAATAGGAAGGAAGGAAGGAAGGAAGGAAAACAGACAAGGAAGGAGGGAGGGAAGGAAGAACGGAGGAGGAGAGAGAGAGAG